TATTGTTTCTCTTTTGCATTTGAGGATACATAAAGAGGTTTGAATCTTGTCCATTGGGATCCAGATAGAGTGTTCCTCGACCAGTATGGAAACACCTCTATGGAAACAAAAGCCTCAAAATGCTTAAACATATTCCTTCACTTTCTATAGGTTTCATATTTTATGAAGTTGACTTGAGTTTTTTCTTTTTTTTCCTTTAAATGGCATTTCACCAGAGTATATCTAGATATTGGGCTCTTCTAATATATAGCCTGGTACTTGATTATTTCTTTTGATCTAAAGACTAGTGTTCCATCTGCTCAGGAGAAGAAAAAACTATTAACGTTTAATTATTGCTTCTGAATTATTCCTTCTGTCTCTCCTCTGGGAGTCTTATTTTAAATAGATGTGACTCCTGGGGTTGTCCTCTGTGTCTTGTCTTTTCTGCCACAGTTTTCATCTCTGTCCTTCCCCACTCGGCACCCAGTGCATTCCTCTCATTGGACTCTACACGACCAATTTCCTTCTATATCCATCCTGTTGTCCAGATCTGCAACCCCTGGCAAACTGTCCCGATCCATTTGTTTCCCTCCCACGGCTATTGGTCTAGTTTCACAGATGCAAAATTCTCTTAAGTCTTATAGAGATTGCGATTGGGATATCCTCTCATCTTCTTCCTCCTGTGTCTTACAGCAAATCTCTTTCAGAGAGAAACGTCCCCTTTGGCCCCTTCCTTATCAGAGCCAACAGCATCACGCCCTCCAGGATCCCAGCTTTGGGCTTCTCTTTCGCTATAATCTGCCTTCTGCCTGGAGGTAGTTGTCCCCCAACACTGTCCCTATGACTTGTGGCTTCTACTGAGATGTGAAAAGGGCGTGGAGTTCTGGCAGGAGGTCGAGGCAGTCTGGGCAGTGACTAAGCTGGAACAAAGTCTTTGTTGCTTTGGAGAGGGTTGTCAGTGGTGGAGGTGAGGGGGCAGGCATGCCCTGCAGCCTGAAACCCGCCTTGTTCCTGGACTGTGTGTTGTCTGCCCTGTGATGTAGGTGTCCTCTTGCTTACTTCCCCTCCAAGCTCTGCCAGATACCTGGTGGCTTCTCTGGAATTGCAATTTGGTCAAAGTCTGCGCTTCTTTGCCCTCCTGCCCTGAGAGCAGGCAGGTGGGCAGAGACTCTGGGCGGTTCCTGCAGGACAGAGAGGGAGGTGGTTCCTTGTGTTACAGCTACTGAATTCTCTGATGCCCATTCACATCCATCACAGCATCAACCCACGAACTCTGTGTATCACCAAGGAAGAGAAGAGGCGCGAACTCTCTTCTCTTCTGTCCTCCTGCATGGGGCTTCCCTTTTACCAGCTGCCCTTGTTCTTGCTAAACTTTGGAGGGTGCAGAGGATGTAAATCATTCTAGACCTCGACCCTGGGTCCAACAGAAGACTGAGCTGTCCCTGGTCCAAACATGGGGGTTCATGAACTGCTGTCCTGGGACCCAAGGGCATCAGTGGCTTCACCCCAGAACTGGTCACAAATGGAGATTTTCAGGCCTCACCTCTGACCCACTAACTGGGAATTCTGGGGCTGGGGCCCAGCCATCCGGGCACCGTCTCTAGAGGTCTGTGCAGGCTCGGGTTAGAGAACCACAGCTCAAACCAAAGCCGAGACTGGCACTGTGCTTCTCCCACCTCGACCCCGTGGGCAGCTTTCCCAAACACCATCCCAAGAGATGCCTTTAATAAACGTAAAAAAGCTCCCTGGAGAGTCCAGCGCTCTCTGCCTCTGAGAAGTCCCTAAACTTGAATTTTGCGTAGCTTTCCGTTTCATTTAGCTGAATGTTTTCCAAACTGATTTGGCCAAAGAATTCTTTATTTCTGTCAAATGCTCTTGGTCCTGTCCCAGTACACCTCAGACTCTTCTCTTTTCCCCCACTCAAAAGCTCGGCACTTCTGAGCTTCAACTTGTACGAACTTGGGTGTCACTGAGTGCAATCCTCCGACCTCACGTTCCCCGCGTGTCCGGGCTGCAGATCAGGCCTCGAGGGTGAGGTGGCTGGGGTGAGAGTTGTGGAAAGACTGTGGACTTTGAAGGCAGCGAGGCCTGGTTGGAATTCAGGATCTCCCACCCACCCGGTGCACGAACTTGGGAGAGCGACAGTTTGGGGCAGGGTTCCTGTGAGGCGTGAGTGAAGCCAGTTGTGCACACTGGCGTGAGCATGGGACTTAGAGCCAAAGACCTGGATGCTAGTGCTGGCTCTAGTCTACCACCTTCAGCCTTTTTGCTTCAGTTTTTCCATCAGTAAAATGGGAGGGTAATAAAAATAAACAACTTACACAGGATTGACTATGATTTTAAGCAGATAGTCTGTGTGAAAGATCTTTGTAAACTGCACGATGCTACGAAATGTTAGCTATGATCATGTCAAAAGGAAAAAAGCCGTGTTTGCAGAGGCTCTGTCCCTCTGCCTGGTGCATGGCAGGTGATCTGGAAACTTCAGTTGCTTTCAAACAGGCAAGCATCACCCCAAGCACTAGAGCGAGGCTGAGTCCTGAGGGACCTTATTCCAGCTGACAGATAAGAATGACTTGTTCGTAGCACAGGCACCGTTTTATGTTCCATCTTTCTCAGTATTGATTTGTTTATCAAAAATGTTATTTATAAGGAGCACAAAAATAAACCAGTCCACATTCCGCAGGATGTATCACAGGTTCTGAATTAATGAGGTCCAAATTTATGAGGGTTATGAATTGGTCCTTCCTTTGTTTACTCTTCTGTTAGCGGGCGGGTGGGGTGGGGAGAGAGGGACAGGGGTGGGGCTCTCGCTGGAGCTGGTGGCACATCCTTTCCCACACGCCCTGCCTGCCCGTCCTGCTCCCCCTGGCGGAAGATGCCTTCCCGCAGGTGCTGGAGCCCGGTTTGGGGAACTGGAACTTGGCCTGGGATGTGGGCAGAAGCCCCTGAGTTCGGCTCTAATAATTCTATTCTGTAAAACTGTGGGTTGTGACCACAGCATTTTCCAGCAAGAATGTTCCTCCTGGGAAGCCGTGTGCCCCGAGGAATGAAGGAATTGGTTCCAGAGGGGAGGGGAGGGGCAAAATTCTCAGGTTCCAGATGTGCTGGGACAACCCGTCTCAGAGTGTGGTCCCCGGACCAGCAGCAGTGGCGTCACCAGGGGACCTGATAGAAATGCAAACTCTGGAGCCCCATCCCAGAGCTACTGAGTCAGAGACTATGGGAGTGGGGCCCAGGACTCTGTTTTAAGCCTTCCTGGGTTCCTCTGATGCACGCTCGGGTTTGAGGTCTGGGATAAATAAGAAGGAACTAGGGCTGGACTCGGCTGTCCGGAGGAAGAGCCCTGGGCCCCCAAACATAAACAGGGGGTGGTCCCCGGACCTACGAGGTGCCCACTGAACCTAGCTGCATAAACTGCACTTAGGTTGTTTCTCCACTTACTCTAGGGCACTGCTTCTCATTCCTGGTGGCATTAGAATTAGGAGAGCGCTTTTAAAACATCCCTGCCTATGTCTGAACTCTGCCCGACTGAAGTCAGAATCTCTGGAGTTGAGCCTGGGGGTGGGGTCTGTATTTTTTTGAGACAGGGTCTCACTCTGTCACTCACCCAGGATAGAGTGCAGTGGTGTCGTCATAGCTCACTGCAACCTCAAACTCCTGAACTCAAACGATCCGCTGGCCTTAGCCTCCTGAGTAGCTGGGAGTCCAGACATGTGCCACCGCACCCGGCCTGATTCTGTATTTTTAAAAGCTCCCAGATTTTTGGCATGTTACCAGGATTGTGATCCACTGATCCAGAGAGTGCACTGCTAAGAAAAATTGCGATTTGGGTTGCCTTTGCATTTACCATAATTATTTCCATTTATTTCATCAGTTTATATTGGACAAATTGCATATTTGTATAGAAAAAAAGAACTTGGGGAGTCTAGAAAAGTTGAAAGGAGAGAAGAAATTACACTCCTGTTCCAACTGTCCAAGGGCACTTGTCAATATCTCAGTGGGTTTTCTTTCCATCTTTTTTTGTGTGCACTGGTTTGAATTTTCGTAGCACTGTGATCCTATTTAATATACCATTTTCCATCTACCTTTTAACTTAACATTGTTTCTTATGTAAGTCCCACACATTGCAGTAGTCATAAGTACAAATTTTAATATGCTCTTGTGACAACGTGAAAAAAGTGGCTTTTTTCCATCTTCACGTGTACATACTTTAGGGTAGCATTTAGGGAGGCCTTTCATTCCTGACAATGCCGGTATTTCAAGCGAACTGTGAAATCCTACTTTGAATGTCAGAAGTAGGGCATTAACTTCTTGCTCTTTGAATGTCTACCCACAGTCCTAGCCTGCCCTCCATCTCTTCCTCCCTCAGCCCCACAGGTGTATGTCGGCATTAGGCTGGCAAGGGGCGCCGTCTTAAACTGCAGAAAGTCACGAAAGGAAAAACGCATGCGTATTTTCCAGATATTTTATAACCATCCTTCTGCTTGTCAGTCTCAGCTAATGTTGGGTGTCTCCAAAGTCACAGGCTGTGGTCCCCATACATGGTGGTATGATTCATAGACATGCACATGCGTAGAGCAGTCCCCCACTTCCTTATGCTTCGGAAAGAAAAATAAACAAATGAACACAGCGAGAAAGAGCAAAGAGGAAGGTGGAACAGAGGAAAGGATAGTGGATGAACAGACTCAGGTGCTGGTTGCCCTGTGCTCAGTCAGAAATGCCAAAATCAAGCCGTGCGTCTCCTTTGTGCTTCTCTGCTTTGAATGTAACGTTGCCAAGACTTTATTCTTTGTTGCACAGTTCTATATATGCATGCATATATATGAATATTTTTCAATAATATATATATTACATTTATATTATAAACAAATAATATATGTACGTATATATATTCTTGACCGCTTCCACCTTCCAACGTGCTGCCGGTTTGCTCTCCACGTAGCCGGGCGCGACGGAGCCACTTTTGTCCTCTGTGTTGGTGTTGTGGACGCGCCAGGTAATTCTGCCCCATCTTCTTGCAGGGCATTATGGGAAGGATGCTTACCGAAGTGGAGGACCAGATCTCCATAACTTCATCTCATCTGGATTTGTCACGTTAGGAAGAGGACACACGAAGGGTACAGTGGAAACCATTTTTTACTAAAATGCAGAGGTTGCCTAGGGAAGCCCGGTCTGAAATGCGAAGATGGCGTGGAGGCCAGAGGCTTGTCCGGGACAGGAAGGAGTGGAGTGGTTCCGAGGCAGCTTGTCCTGGTGACAGGACACCTGGTGTCCTGTCCTTCTGCCAGGAGGTCACAGGTGTGACTTTAGAGGGCAATAGACTTCCGAGAGACGCCCATCCCGTCCCCCCGTGGCGGGGAGCAGGACCCAGATGCCGGTGGCTCCCTGCGGGAGGGGACGACAGGGAGCGTGGCGGGAACCCCCACCAGTGGATGTGGCAGCATTTGCAAAGTGTTTGCTCGCCTCTTGGCTACCGTTCCTTTTCCTTTCGAAAGCCACACTCCATAAACTGACGTCAGTGTTCTGTGCGTGTGGGTTTCCAAGCCAGCGTGCATGTGGGAGTTTCAGCGTCCTAAGTGTGTCTCTGTAAACACTCTGTGACGTGGACACAAAGGTAGAGGTCACGCAGACCTTCAAGCCACAAGATGAAAGCTAACCTAGCGTTTCTGCCAAGCTGCTTTCCGACCTAGCTGACAGCTTGCAGAGCATCTGTGCAGGGCCGTGGACTCCTCCTCGATTCTGTCTTTTGTTTCAACAGAGTCCTGCTAGTGTTGTGTGCATTCTGTCATGCCAAGAGTAACTGGATCTCTAACTCCTCCGATTCCCTTTCCTAACACTTGTGTGCTGTTATAGACCACACGTGAATTCTGTTGTAGGGACAGTGTATCCCTGTCTTCCTCCGAGATATGTCTGTTTCAAGTGTGAGTAAACAAGGAACTTCGCAATATTTTCTTACGTTCCATGCACCCACTTTTTAAATTCCCTGTGTGATGTTTGTTCATCCTATAGAGAAAAAATATATATATCTGTATCTGTGTATGTATTTTCTGTTGTGTCTGTTTGTGTCTAAATAAAGTTTATTGAGGATACAGGTGGCATTTGTGGCTACTAAGAGTTGCAGAATCAAACTGGGACCAGCTGGCTCCAGAAGGGGAAATGGGCTGAACAGGTAACCACTGAAAAATACGATCCTGCTCATACTCATATCAACTCAAACCTGGGGTCGCTGGTCCTCCTATAAACATCTGCTGTGTGATAATTACCTGCTGCTGTGAAACAGATTACTCTACAACGTAGCATTTTAAAACAATAATAAACATTTATTATCTCACGTAGTTTCCGAGGGTTGGGAATTTGGGTGCCGTGGGCTTGGGGTTGTAATCACAATGTCAGGCGAGCTGCATCGTCTGAAGGCTTGACTGGGGCTGGAGGGCCTGCTTCCAACACGGTTCGCTCACACGGTGCCGGCTGCTAGCAGGAGGCCTCTGCTCCTCCCTGTGACCTTCTGTCCATGGATACCTGCGTGTCCTCACTGTGTGGTGCCTGGTGATCTGAGAGAGACAGGAGCCACGGTGTCTTTTATGACCAAGTCTATGGGTTACATATCGTCATTTCTACAATGTGCTATAGATCACACGAGTCGGTCCTCTTCTGCGTGGGAGGGAACTACACAGGGGTATGAACACCAGGATCCCCGGGGGGCCAATTTGGAAGCCTCCCACCACACACCTGCATCTCATGGAGCAGAGGTAGCCACCTGGATTTTTCCAGCAGAACATGGTGACTCTTACCAAGGCTTCTCCATGCTGTGGTTTCCCCTCCCCCAACCCCTCATAGGTGGCCCCACCTGAAACACCAAACCCTTCAGCCAGTAGAGCTCTTTATATATATTATAAATACTGTGGCTTTGAGTTGATGCATCCCTTCAACAAATATTTGTGAACAAGCAGTATTCAGAAGTAAAAGATAGAATCTGTCTTTACATTCCACCTGGGGAAGCAGACAACCTTTGCCTGTTCTTCCACTCCCTTCTATCCCTATCAGGCCTCTGACACCCCCTCTTTCCATGAATATACCTTGTGTGTGCCTTCCTATTTAGGTACCAACTGCAGTTCCAAGAGCACAGAGACTTGATCTGACAGTAGGGGATGTTTGGGAAATGGAGGTGCTCTTCTAATATCAGGGAAGCTCCAGTCCCCTGGGCAGCTTGGATTTCCAGAGAAGGGCTGGGCTTCTGTTTACTCCAAATGATGAATCAGCAGGAGCTCAGAGGACGAAACCAGAGAGGGGAAGACACGCAGCAGTAGGTCCTTAGAAGAAAGGACAGTAGGAAGAAAAGTAGGAATTACGAGGAAAAGAAAGAGTGTGCCATTCAGTCAGAAAGTCCTGAAAAGGGGTGTTGGAACTAATTCTGGTGCCCAGTGCTGTGCAGCTTGGGGGATTGGCCAATAACAGTGGGGTCGCCTAGGCTAAAATATGGGGTCTTCCAACAGGATAGAGGTAAGAGTAGAGGGCTTTGGTGGATAGGACACCCCCATCGTCAGATTTCTATTTCTTCTAATGTCTCGCCTTCTCAATCCCACTAACAAAAGAATGTCCCCTTATTTGAGGCCCCATCTGAGAGCAGTTAAGTACCCCTGCACCTACGGATCTTGTGACAAAGCAGACAGCTCGGCACGCATCCTCGCCTGCAATCTCGGGACCTCACGGGCGCTCAAGTTTAAGTCTGTCTCTGCAGTGCCTCTGGAGCCTATAAAAAAGACCAGGAAGACTGATGTCAACCAAGCTTCCAGCACAGACTCCCAGCGCCATTTAGGACAGGGTGGCCAATGCCTGGCTCGTGGGTGATCAAATTCTGATTAGAAATATTATAGCTAAATTCAGCAGAGCAGGTTAACAGGGCAGTGGTATCACCTTGTGAAGCAGGTGTTAGCCACCTGTTTAGTCCTGAGGGTCACGGTGGGCCTGCACCATGGCCAGGTGCCCCCAGAAGGCCTACAGCCTAAGGAAGAAGAGGGAAAAGGAATAAAGGAAGAGACACCAGAAAGGCGGTAACTGGAGTTGGAGCAAAGCGTGGAGAAAGAAAAGAAAGAGATTTAAACACATGCAGTGGAGAATGGCCCTGTGTTCGAGGTCTCTGTGTGGGTCCCTTCCATGGGGCATTTCATGGGGCCAGTTTGCTTCTAGGTACCACTACGAGTCCAGCTGAATTGGCTCTGCAGGAAGAGAGGCCCCACAGCTGTTGGCCGCCCCTCCCCCAGGTTGCACAGCGCTGCCCTGGGCTCCGTGGGCACCAGAATGGGTTCCGACACCCCTTTTTCAGGACTTTCTGACTGAATGACACACTCTTTCCTTTTCTCTTAATTGTTACTTTTCTTCCTACTGTCCTTTCTTCTGGAGGCCTACTGCTGCATGTCTTCCCCTCTCTGATTTCTTCCTCTGAGCCCCTGCTTGTCCATCACTTACAGTGAATAGAAGCCAAGGCTAAGAAAGTTGCTGATCTGAGTGGCCATGGGTTTAGACCCAGTTGCCCCTGACGTCTTGCTCTGTTAATTAGCTGAGATCACCCCGGCCCCATGCGGGACCAGAGCAGTCTTTAGGAAGGCACAGTCCACACCTGCTGCCTCAGGGAATGCCCCATGACGAAGTCCTCCATTTGCTGAGCATTTACTATGTGCCAGCACTTTGCATATATAGTCTCATTTTAACCTTTAGAACAACTCCGTGGGAGAGCTCTTGTTATCTCCATTTTACAGGCAAAAACACAGAAGCTCAGAGTGGTTGAGTAACTGGCCTAAGTCCACCTCCAACAGGCAGTCCTGTTTCCTTGTGAGTCCGGGCCTGACTCCGAAACTCACGCTCCTGCCCACTGCCTCACCTGCCTCTGGAACGTGGGAGCAGCGGAGGGTCACGTACGGTCGCGGTTCCGTGGGAGCCACCCACGGCCGACGTTCGACAGGAGACGGCTCTTCTCATCAGAGACGTAGCTTTTGCAAGACAGGAAGTCACAAGGAAGGATGAGCCAGGAGTTAGAGCATTAACGCCACATGAGCAGGGCTGTCCAGAAGGGAAGATCAGTCTGATCAGATATGTTTTTGGAGCCTGTCTACATGAACACACGTGCAGAAACCCTATTCTACGGAGGCGGTTGGGTTAAAAACTTGATCAGGGTGGTGGTTTTCTTGCATCTGGTTGAAAAGCCAGAGGATTCTTTCCAGCAGCCCCCTCGTTTCAATACTGTCCAGCCCAGTCATCTCCAGCTGGGCGTCCCCGGCCACGCCTGGCCTGGGTAAGGAGTCCTTCCCGTGTTGATGGTGGCGGCTGATGTGTGTGTGTCACTGCAGCTGCAGGGTGACCGTGCTGTGTGCGTCCCCATGGAGGCAGTCATGCCGGTTACGGCCTGCCCTTCCCCGGTGTCCCTCACCTCCCACCAGGTCACTCCTGCCCTGCCAGGAGCCAGACAGAGGGGCGTGTGTGTGTGTGTGTGTGTGTGTGTGTGTGTGTGTGTGAGAGAGAGAGAGAGAGAGAGAGGAGAGAGAGAGAGGGGAAGAGGAGAGAGGGGGAAAGAGAGAAATCCCCGAAGCCTTTGGGAAAAGGTAGAGCTGCACAATGGTTGCTCCATTGTAGGAAGCAGACTATTGCCCGTTCATTCATTCAGTCCTCCATTAGATCACATTTACTGAGCACCAGCTGTATACCAGACACTCTTCTAGGCACTGAGGATACAGCAGACTTACACAGCAGCAGAAGATAGCAATAAAGACAGAAGGGAGTAAACATACAAAGCGGATCTGATGGAGTTCAGAGCCGTGGAGCAAAGCGAGGCGGGCAGACAGAGCTCCGTTTTAGAAGGGCGTCCAGAAGGCCTCAGAAAAGCTTGTGTGGCCACAGCAAGGAGGCTGGAGCACAGGGAGCAGGAGCGTGAGCAGCTGGAGGTGAGGGCGGAGAGGGGCGGACACTCGACCCCACAGGGCCTTGGGGGGCATTTAGGGATCCGGCTCCTGCTCTAGGGGAAATGGAAAAAAAAAACGCTTTGGGGCTGAGGCATCAGGAAGGTGGAAGTCCTGATGGTAGAGGAGCAGTTTTTATGCAGAGATTGGGGGTGTGCATGGATCCA